TTGTCTAACCTGCAATTGTGATTTTTGTAGCATATAATTTCTATGCAAAGCATTGCATTTATACTTGATACGATGATACATATTATGACTTAGTCTAAAATTTGCATCAGTGTTATACTTCAAAAATATTGCTCTCTTCTTCCTTGATTGATATATATCATTAGTTTTATATTTGGTCTTTTTAGCAGATATTATTTTAGATCGATACAAGTCGTCTGTCTTATATTTGGTCTTTTCAGCCAATATTCTTTTAGATCGATACAAGTCGTCTGTCTTATATTTCGTCTTTTTAGCAGATATTATTTTAGATCGATGCAAGTCGTCTGTTTTATATTTCGTCTTTTTAGCAGATATTATTTTAGATCGATGCAAGTCGTCTGTCTTATATTTGGTCTTTTCAGCCAATACTCTTTTAGATCGATACAAGTCATCTGTCTTATATTTCGTCTTTTTAGCAGATATTATTTTAGATCGATGCAAGTCGTCTGTCTTATATTTGGTCTTTTCAGCCAATATTCTTTTAGATCGATACAAGTCGTCTTTCTTATATTTCGTCTTTTTAGCAGATATTATTTTAGATCGATACAAGTCGTCTGTCTTATATTTGATCTTTTCAGCAGATTTTATTTTAGATCGATACAAATCATCTGTCTTATATTTATTCTTTTTGGCGGCTTTTTGTTTTTTCTTGTACAATTCATCCGTCTTGTATTTACTTTCTTTAAGGATTGGTTTTACCCTAGATAACCTCATTTTCATTTTCTGTTCTTTAAGTTTCGTTTTGAATCCAGTTTTCCTTGTTTTACCCCTGAATCTTGGAGTCACTCTTCTAGGTTCAATAGATACATCCTTGCATGATTTATTACCTTCTTGATCAAAAGTGTATAAAGCACTATTTATTCTTACTTTTTTGCTGGGAGGCTCTTCAATTTTTTTGTCAATTTCAACCTCATTAATATACTCAACATCTTCATAACTTTTATGAAAATCTTCAGTTTCAGCAAGTTCAACAACATTCTCAATAACTCCATTATTTTGGACAGATAACACAACATCATAATGTATTCCACCTGTATGGTTTATATATATACCTCTGTTTGTTGTAACCTCTCCCATTTTGGCTTTATTTCCACAAAATATATGCCAACATTTCAATTCTTCATCATAAATGTAAATATCAGTTTCCAGCAAATTCGCAGTTACTAATATTTCTATCTCTGATGCCCATATACCATATTCCATTATTCTTTGGCTTTTTGCATATTGTAAAACAGAAGAAAAAGTTCTTCCCAAATAACCAACAAAAATATCAGAATTTGTTGTGAGAAAATCTACTACCGCAACTCTTATGTCCATATGATTATCTTCAAAATTACAGATTGCATAGGAAATACTACGATAAAAGCAATTACCATCACCAATGATTGTTTTCAGTTCAAGTGGACACCCTAAACATTGATTTGAAATAACAGCATTAGCAGAACGAAGTAGATGTTTATGTGAGATACTCAATTTTGTACATAGCTTTAACTTATCTTGTTGTACAATGGGTTGAAAAAAAAGATTTTTTCTTGTAACACCTAATACAACAACATCATCATTTTCATGTTCAAGTGATGAATCTTTGCTAGCAACTTCACAACCAATTTTTTCATCTTTGTCATTAATCATAATATTGTTCTGGCAAAAATTTGTTTTTTTATCTTTACAAGTAGAATGTACTTCATTAGAAAATTGCTGAGATTTACTTTTAGTCATTTTACCAGTGAAAGTAGGTATTTTATGCAGCTCCAGTTTCATTTTTTTAATTTGCACAACCTCTCCTTCATAGATCAAATTGGTATTACATGTACCTTCTATTCCTTCAGAATTTTGCATACCAGTATTACTGCCAACTTTACTACTATTATTTTGTATACTGTTTTTTCCGTTCATCTTATTATTTACTATACAACAGGTTTCTTCATTGGTGGATTTGTCAAGCTTCAACATAGTGTTTTTCTGAGAAATTACTTTCCTTTCAACATGTGACATCAAATTTTCAGTGCAAAACATATCATTATATTTTTGCTTAGGAGACTTTTCATAACCAATCGTATAACTATCTTTGGTTTCACATTTCTGGGTATTAAGTATCTCAGATGTACACTCAAAATTATTTTCTTCAATCACTTCAAATGCAATATTTCTTTGTTTACATTCATTATCAGGTTCTTTATTACCCTCAACATGTATTGTATTTATAGTGCTTTCAATGCTTGCAATTTGAGTTTCTGTTTCAGGTTCACTTGTTAATAACTTCGGCAATTTTTCATTTAATGTTTGAGAGTCGCCTGTACTTCTATGAAGATCTACACCAGTCAATTCGTAACATGCATTAAGAAGACCAACATTCATAGACCTAGCTAAGGTTGTAATATGCTTGTAAACACCTTGCCATGATGATGTAAACATAAGAATGCTCTTGCCATCTTGAACTTGGAGGCCAGTCTTGGATCTCGAATGTGAATCAAAAATGCAATAACCATCGAGTGTGGATATGACAATGAGTGTGCTTCCATTGAAAGTGAAAAAACAAGCATCATGTTGACAAAGTTCTTGGGCAAGGGCTCGTTTCAAAATAATCCATTTATATTCAGGCATTTCTTTTCCAATAATGTAACCTTTGACTGGTTCTTTGTAATTCATTGTAAATACATCATCAAAACCTTCTAGAACTTCAGGCAGATTTGATATCAACAAAAAGTCCTGACTATTTTTATTGATCTTTCGAATGAGGCCATACAACTCATTGCCATGAACTAGAATATTATCTAAATCCTTACTGCACCAGTATTGTATATTCTTGATTCTGCTAAACATCACAGCTGACAAACAATTGGCCACACATTGCTTTCCACTATTTTCACCAAATCTATAATTTCCTTGATTGAAGTTTCCATGAACTAGTAATGCGGTAGAACTATCAACATTGGTGTTAGTTATGCCACCTTTACATTTGTCTTTTGTTATGCCTAAACCAGTAGATGTAGAAGCCATACAAGTATCATCTTGTTGCAAGCTTAACTTAGAATTTTCATATCCACACTCCTTTAAAAGAGATGCACACATACTGCTAGTACTGTTACAAGCCTGAACAACTTCACTTCCATTTACTTTCTTGGTAGTTTTATCCTGGACAAATACCTTGCCTTTTGTTTGTGGCACAGATTGCATTTGTTGATGTAAGCTTCTTTCATGAATGTTAGCGCACTCTTCCTGTGTGTTTACAGCATTTAAAGATATGGGGAAAGTACATGTATTACGTTGCTGCATATCTGATGTGCAACTTTCAAATGTAAACTCCTTCACGTGGGATAAACATGTAGGCTGAATACCACCAATATCACTATTACACTCTTTTTGGCAAGATGTTTGCTTCATTCTAGTACTGCTACTCTCCAACATAAATGCTTGATCTCTGTTTACATTCTCAGGCTTTCCACTATGTACATGTAGATCTACATGTACATGTATGTCATCCATGTCTTGTGACACAAACTGCATAGGGTAATCTAAGCATTCATCCTTGTTCTCAACTTTCTCTTCAATTCTTTGATTATCTTTCAAAGATGTAGGAACAGTACTTGTACTATACTGCTGCATGTCTGATATGCAGTATTCAAGGTCATACGTCTTTGTGCGGGCTGTGTCTGTCAGCTTTATTACATCACTGTCACTTTGCACACAACTTTCCTTATCACAATTGACTACATCTGTATTTACACTATTCTTCTGAACTCTGTCTTCCTTGTGCGAAACACAAAGCATATCTTCAATTGAATACTTTGGATCATGCTGTTCATTTACTGGAGACACACAGTTCTCAGATTTTCCTGTCGCAGTTGCACCCATTACTTCAAAGACGCCATTACACTGATAATTCATCGACAATGCAAGTTGAATGATGTACTTATGAACACCTTGGTATAACTTCGCATGCATCAAAATACTTGTCCCATTTCCTACATCGATTCCTGAATGATTACGAGAATGCGGATCAAAAATGTAGTAACCATCACACAAAGACATGACTGATAATGTTTCGTTTCCAAAATTAACAAAAGTTACATCACTTTTGTCAAGAGTATCTTCTAAAGCAGCAGTAAGAGGTAAACACTTTGCATCCTTCTGTTCATCTTCATGTTCAGTTACATATCCATTCACAGTTTCAGCATAGTGCACAGTGTACTCGTGCTTACCATCTTCTATATTGCATGGCAAATCTGATGTTTGTAACAAGTCATGGTTGCAAGCAGAAATGTCTGTAATAGACTCATAAAGGCGATTTCCTCTCAGAAGTATACCATCAAGATCATCTCTATTCCATGTACTTGGACTTTTTGTTTTCGAATATATCATTGACATTAAACCATTACATTTACACTGTTTTCCACTACTTGATCCAAATTGTTTGTCACTCTGATGAAAGTGCCCAGAAGCAACAAGACTAGTATCAAACAGGTTGCATCTTGTTTCAATGTCAGAACTTTCACATTTAGTATTAATATCACTTTGACATTTTGTTTCACTAGTTCCAAACAAGCTATTGGTTTGTTTCATTCCTTTATCATTAACTCCTTTTCTAATCTGTCTTTTTCTTACATGGTCTTTCCTCAAAATAACTGTACCATCTTCAGACACTTCAACAGTTCCCATCTTTCTTTTTCGATTGACCTTTGGACGATCCATCAAGGCATCATCAGTGTGAACGAAATTAGCTGACCTTTGACTTTGAATTTGTCTGCCTTTTTGATTTCTTCTCCTGTTTTTGACTCTAACCCAATCACATCCTTCAACATCATTTTCTATGTCACTTTTCTTATTGCCCTCCTGAATTCCAATTTCACTGTCTTTATTTATGCTACTACATTGATCAATCTCTACATTTTTCTCAACATTTTTCCTTCTTTTATCACCAGAAAATGTAGAACCTTTCAACTTTGTCATATATGATTTACCTTTCTTGTGTGGTTTCTTTGATTTTCTTGATCCTCCTCCAGACATTTCTTTGAGACATGTTCCAGGCGTTCTTTCCTGTCCACTCTGCACTGTGTACTCATCATGGTCAATAATGCATTCATCAATCAAGGAATCATAGTATCCATCATCTGAAAAAATACCGAAATTGTCAATGATACTACATGAGTAATTTGAGTACCCACAAATGCATATCCATACCACATTCAAATAATCTGTTTTTCCTTTACATATACCAGAGTTTATGAAGCAATCATGGTACCATCTCTTACACTCTTCACATTGCGTTTGACCAAATGTTTTCCTGTCAAATGTACGGCTTTCACATTGGCTTTTACAAATACTGTCTGCTTGTTTTATTCTGCATTCAATTTCTCTAGCTTTTACAAAAATACACAATACCTCAATTTCATCTATCAATTCTTTACATTCCGATGTCAAAAAAGCCATGGCTAAAGTTCAGGTCATTTGTTTGATCTGGATTCCAATATGAACAAGATTAAAGGTACTAGATATCAACTTTCAGGTATTAAATATCAACTTTCAGGTAGTAATTATCAACTTTCAGGTAGTAGATATCAACTTTCAAGTATCAAATATGAACTTTCAGGTATTAAATAGCAACTTTCAGGTAGTAAATATCAACTTTTAGGGACTAAATATCATCTTTCAGGTATTAGATATCAACTTTCAGGTATTATATAATTTCAGATTCAGATATAAAATCAACTTTCAGGTACTACATTGTATATCAACTTTCAGGTAGTAGATATTAACTTTCAGGTATAGAAATCAACTTTCAAGTATTGGATGTCGACTTTAAACTAAAGAAGTTCATTGAAGCTTTTCCAAAAATTCTGTATATTAAATTCAAATTATCTGCAAATGCTCTCCTCTTCCTGCTTTCCTTTCTTTTTAATTGGTTTGACTTATTTTTAGATGTTTATTTGTCCTCTCACATACTACAACCTTGATTTTTCTTACTCTCTCCTCAGTTTATTTCTAAAGTTTCTCTTTGCTTCCTTTTCAGTTCTCTTAATTTCAAAATTCTCTTTGGGTGTTTCTTAGTTTGTTTCACTTTTTGAGACTTGTTTTTGTTTTCTGTTGCTATCTTTTTAGTTACTTTAAATTCCTCTATACTTTAATTAGCAATTACTCTCAGTCTGTCTTTGCTTTAGTTGAATTAACAACCTTTGTCATAGTTCCTCAACGTTTCTCTTTGGTTTTTTCTTGCTCTTTATTTACTTCTTTTAACTTCACTTTTTATTGCTTTCTATTCAATTTCTCTTAATTTCTGGAATACCTCTTTGATTCAAAAATTGATCTCTCTATGATTGCTTTTTCTATAATCTTTTGTTTCAGTGAATGTATGACAAAATTTCAGTTTAAAGAATACATTCAGCGTAGAGAAATTCAGTCAATGTAAAGAAGAACATTCAGCATAAAGAAATACCATCAGTGTCAAAAATTCAATCAGTGTAAAGAAATTCAATCAGTGTAAAGAATTTGTTCAGCGTAAAGAAATTCAGTCATTGCTTCAGGCAAGTACAAGGGTACAGGCCAAGTTACTAAGCTCAAACATGAAATGTCTTAAACATTAAACAATTGCTTTTGCCTATAGCAACCTGTACTTGGCACACCAACTGCGTAGCTCAAATCAGTGGATTACTGCCGATTGCCAGACAAGAAAAAAACAAGGATAGAAAGTTACGAACACATAACAAACACACGACACAAGACAATAAAAAAGACACAAGACAACTCAAAGAATAATAGTAAAGCTTCAACACAAAACAATTGCTTTTGTCTATAGCAACTTTCACTTGGCACACCAACTGCGTAGCTCAAATCAGTGGATTACTGCCAGTTGCCAGACATGAAAACACAAATGACACAAAAAATACAAACAAAACAAAAGACAAAACTCCACGTAGCTATTACACACCTCAGAGAAATGGTCAGATCCAACCTAAAGGGAAAAAAAAGATAAAAACAGATGTAAAAGATACACTATTTATTAAAAAAATGCTATTCATTTAACCAGCATTATGAATAGCAACCTTATAAAAAGTGGTCTTTATGAATAGGGGGGGTTAATTTGTCAATGGTTTACTCGCTATACTGTCGTTGAAATTTAACCTTTTTATTTTTTATTTTTTGGCCTGCATATAATGGGACATAGACTACTGACTAGTACCGTTAAAGTCAATACTAATACTATAGTCTTTCTACTCCAACCATACTTACAATTACGTGTTGATGTTCTACGAAAAGTGTGTACCGGTAAGCTCAAAATTGAGTGAATATCAGCAACTGAAAGATAAATTCAAAATAACAAACATTGTAATAAACAAAACGATAACATTTACTTTCATCAACATTACTGGCTGTAACGGCCAATTTTGATAAACAAAACATGCAACATAGACTCTAGACTAGACGTATAATAAATGTTTGTCAAAATATTGACAATTTAAAGGAAAAAAGTCTTATTTTAGTAGAGTAAAGTACCCGGTAATCGGTCAGCTCCGGTTTTCGGCCAATTGGTTGGATACATGGTAAAATCACTTTAAAATACATCGCATAATAGCATAACACATATCCCACACATACCATACCATGCCAGTGTCACTGAAGAACCACATTTGCAATGAAAAATATATCCTAAAATATCACATTTTAGCGATGTAATCGGCGGTCCCGCTACCCAAATCTGAAAAATCGAGTTTCTTACGCGTGTATGTAAGAAATATGGGTACCATAAAATGAGCTTTATTTCAAGTATTTTTCAGATTTAGAGCCCGATTTTGTGCTGGTCGCAAGCTCAAAAGTATCTCATCGCATGTATTAAATCAATGCAGCCGCACACCGCGACGCACACACGATATGTCCGTCTAATTCAGATTCCAACTTCCGATCACCGCTGTGCCTGTATTCGGTCAGGCGAGCACCCGGGAGCTCCGGCGTGGGATACCTGCTCCGCCCGCTTGTGCTATACATCAGCGCAGAAACGCACGGCGCGCGCGAGCGCTTCCTATTGACTTTGTACATGCGGCCGTAAACTGAAACGCTCGGCCGATAACCGGCTCCAAAACAGTGAAAATTGAAATGAATATTGTCATGGCAATTCGCGATTTTTTTTGGGGATTCTTTTTTTGTTTAAATAATAATAATATTTGCTTCATGATTTGAACAAGAAATGATAATAAATAGGAAGTAAAGAGTCCAATAAATAGGATTTTGTCTTAAGTGGCCGAAAACCGGGTACTTTACTCTAGATGTTATGCGATGTAACCATGGTTTGGACTGGGCTGAGCGCACACATCCCTTAGCCGATCCAACAAATAGGGGGAAGGGTATTTTTAAATTTTAAACTGTTTGTTGGGGCGAGTGATCTCTTGCCCGTCTTGGGGCTAGCAAAAAAATAAGTGCATAGATATTTTGCTTACGTCTAGCCAGATATAAGCCCGGGGAGGAGCGCGGTTCAGGAAAGTGGCAAATTTTGGAGCTAGGACTCAGTAGGCCTAGGAGTGTATCTAGATCTAGTAGGAATAGATTCTAGATCTAGATTCTACTTAAGTTCTAGTTCTACTCTAGGATGCAAACAACATTTCAATCGCTGTTTTAACCAAGAAATGTTTAGAATTTTGGGGGTAGCCCCCTAATATGGGGAATATGGAGAGTAACCTGCTCTTTCATATGACACCTCATCCATTGAGTTTCACCTTCAAGATCACGAGGAATAAAGCCAGGTTTCAAATTCAATTTATATAAAATCATCGACCAATTTTCATGGTCGCGCAATGCACGTAGACTGCATAGCGATAGGCTACGTGCGATCTCTACGGGACGGATTTTAGACACGGTACGGGTGCGCGATCAGACACCCTATATACCCCTATATATTGTACGGTACATAGAGTCTAAGTATATCTTAAATAAAAACATTAGTTAATTGTGTGTTTATTGTAAGTAAAGAGAAAACTTACCGCTAAGAAAATGAAGTAAACTAAGTAGAATCTAGGTCTAAGACACGTACGTCTGGGCTCAAGCTGACAGAACCTAATCGTGAAAATTAGCCCCCAAAATAGAATTGATCTTTTGCTCTTCTTCTTCTGTTTTGACTCAATTGCAATTTCAGTTGTGACTATTGTCGCCAAAATACTCGACGTCACGTGATTATATGTCTCAATTTTTAATTTGTTAAAACATTTTATTCTAGATCTAGATCTATATTCATCTATCTTTTAGGATATATCGAAAAAAAAGTATCGTACAGTTTTGTGCAACTCACCAAATTGACCATACTCCCCCACTCAAATTTCAAGTAAGATTTTGTTGGCCCTGCAGCCACTGAATTGGGTAGATCAGTGCCTGCAGCGCGCCCTTGTCTAGACACTATGGTATCGCACAATGAACAAAATACATTTATAAATCGCCGGTAACCCAACATTTTTCTCTTTCTTTAAATAAAATATTCCACTTACTGTCTTTCCATATGTTATTCTTTGTTTCTTTCCTCTTTCATCTCCTCTTATGTTAGTCTTTGTTCTTCCTTCGTTCACTTCTGATGTTATTCTTTGTATTATATTTTTTCTTTTTTTTCTTTCTATCTTCCGTCATGTTAATTTTAACTTTCCTTCTATCGTTTTTCTTTCTGTTTTTGTTTATGTTATTCTTTGTTTTTCTATTTTTCATCTTCTTTTCTATCTGTCCATTATATATTCCTTATCATGTTCTCTTTCTTTCTCTAATTATGATGTTCTTTTTTCTCCTTCTATTATCCCTAATAGCGTTGTTATCATTCTATCACTTTTCTTTCTATCTAATTTCCCCATGTCAAATAGGGTATCTGCATATGATATAAATATTCCTTAGTCAAATTAGGTACAATTACCCTTTCAAATGATATTGGTCCTTTATTCAAACTATAAATAGCTAACAAAGATGTCAAAAAAACAAATAACCACAACAATATCATCTTGTCAAAAGCAAAACAAAATGTTCAATGTTCGTGCACAAATGTAAATATCTGCTATAGCTTTAACATTTCTATTCATTATAGATTTAACATTTCAAGATGCAAATAGCTTAAATATGCCCACATCTCTGCTAAAACTTTATCCCTAAAAAAACATGAGAGTCATTGCACGCACATCGTTCCGACACGATTGCATTTCTAGTCCTCCTCTTCTTCTTGTCGTCCGGAATCCCATTCGTTTTGCACGTAGTGCTTGTTATTCCTAGTTAGGTGCTTTCCTCATGTCCTTTTCCTTTCAAATTTCATAGGCATAGTCTCTAACATCTCATCAAGGTCACTACATTCTTCGATTCTCGAAATCACTCATGCATAACCGTCCAGGCGCCATTTTGTCCGTTTCTGGTCCATTTTAAGGCCTTTCTTTCTTTCTTCCTGTCTCCACTATCCTTCATCCTACAAACTTCTAACAAATTCCTCTAGATAGTCTGAGAGATGTTCTTTCATCTGCGACACATGACTTGACCTTCAAAATGCCATCTTCATACTCGAAATTCAAATCTAAAACCGACTCCGTCAAAAATCTCTCAAGTTCTTGAAAAATGGACCCCTAAATAATCTAAAACTGCCATAACTTTCTCATATAAATTCCGTTTTGTATTTAAATCTCACAGTATCTTTATCTCATAATTGCACATAGCCATGCTAAATTTCACGCTCCAATGGGCTTGCACAACATAAATAGCGCCCTCTAAAGTTCTGGGAATTGGCTTTCTCTCTGTGGCCGTATCTCCATAATGGCTTAGCAAACCCGTACCCTTTTTTGGATTTAGATACTTGAAGATATGCCCTTTCCAGCCATATACAAAATTATATACCCTATCACTGACCAACTTTGCGAAAATTGCCCTCCAAATTCGCCATTTTCAAGAAAATTCCGAAATAACTTCAACTTGCTCTAAAATGGCGATCTTTATACCTACGTCGTTGAAACTTGGCAGACACATGTATCCATATTTGGTAAATTTTAATAACGTCAGCGCAAAGTTATCGCCAAAAATGATGAATTTGCTATGCATTACGTAATAGCGCCTTTAATGCGTGCAGTACATTGCGTGCAGATGACAATGGTGTCAAACTGACCGCAATGAAGTGCCCTTTCGAATGATACCAAGTATGGTATATGTTTACACAGAAAATTGTGAGTAAATCGCATTTGAACAAGGGTCACTATACGAATTCCGCCCGATTATAACACTTATCGGCGATGACGTCATTTTTTCAGACTACTTTTCGCCCCCTAAACATCCTTTTTTTTCGTTGAAAATTTGCAATGACATTTCGAGATGCAATACGCAGGGCACCTCGTGGCCGGATTTTTGAAAGTAGTCAAGGGGGCCATTTAAGACGCCATTTTGTCTTTTAAATCTATTTTACATCACATGTTTCGATAGGATTATCATAGAAAAAAAGAGAGTAGTTTACAATAACAACCATGAAATTCTCTTTCCAATGATACCATATACGGCCCATAAAGAGACATAAAGAGAGAGAGAAAAAACAATTTAACTCCGGTCATAATACAGATCCTGTACGTTTTCCGCCCATGCATTACACGCATTGTCTATGGGGCAAATCGGGTTCACGCTTTTGACCCCTAGAACGAGCTTGATTGATTTGACGAACATGCAACTAATCCCATTTGTTTTTGCACGCAGTGCTTGCGAGCCCTTTCTAGGTTCTTTCCCCTATCCCAATTTCTTTCAAACATCGTAGGCATAGTCACTACCATCCAATCAAGGTCACTATTGAGGCCTTTCTTTCGCCCTACCTGTCTCCAATATTACAGAAGCTAACGACTTCGTACAAATTGCTCTGGATAGTCCGAGAGAAGCTCTTTCGTTCGACACGTAGAAACACGGCGTCATTGCACGCACATCGTTGTGACACGATTGCATTTCTAGTTGTTATAGGTGTTGCAGTGTAAGCTGTTTCGGTGGACTAGTGCTTAGTGTTGTCAGTGTTATTTGTTTGATGTTACAAAAGAAAAACTCCACAGGATTTGATTTTCATAGTACCGAGGTAAAGTTAATATTCAATGGCTAGTTTCAATATAATTTCTTTGAACTGTCGAGGTTTGGGAAATAGCGAAAAAAGAAATGATGTTTTAGAATTTGTTAAGTTAAAAAAGTTCCAAATATGTTGCTTGCAAGATACACATTTTGTAGCTGAGGAAGAAGCTTCTATAAAACGATTTTGGGGAGATAATTGTTTTTTCAGCCATAAAGCGTCAAATGCCAGAGGTGTTGCTATTTTGTTTGGGGAAGGGGTGCAATTTAATGTAAATAAGATTGAGCGATCAAAAGAAGGGAATTTTGTTGCGTTAGACCTACAGATATATAGCTATGACATAACATTAATATCCTTGTATGGTCCTAATCACGATAGTGTTAGTTTTTATGCAGATATTGAAAGACTTGCTTTGGATTTTGATAATCCATTAACAATTTTATGCGGAGACTGGAACTTGGTTCAAGATTTTGATAAAGATACATATAATTATATTCGCCTTAATAATCCTAATGCCAAGAAAAAAGTCGATCAAAATGAAGAATGATCTAGATTTGATAGACCCATGGAGAGAATTACATGTCCTGGAAAAAATGTTTACATGGCGGCAACCTACTCCCTTTAAGGCGGCTAGATTGGATTATTTTTTGGTCTCCACTGAACTACTGTCACTCGTTAATAAAATAGAAATTTTACCTGGGTACAGATCCGATCATTCCCTGGTCAAGCTATCTTTGAATTTAAATCATTGTATGGTAGGTCGAGGTTACTGGAAATTCAATAATTCGTTGTTAAGGGATGATAGTTATGTGGAAAATATTAAAGATGTCATTCAACAAACGATTGAGACCTATTCTGTCCCATATAATAACAATGTAAATAGATTTGAGGTAGAAGGACAAGATACACAATATGAATTTACTGTAAATGATCAGTTATTTTTTGATACGTTGTTGACCATAATTAGAGGTGAAACAATTTTATACTCAGCCAGAAAGAAAAAAAGATTGGTAAATTTAGAATACGATTTAGAGAAAGAAATTATAGCTTTGGAGAAGGCATTGATATCAAAAACAGACAAAAATAGAGCTTTAGTCATATTAAATGAAAAGAAAGTTCAGTTAGAATCACTAAGAAAAGAAAAAATGGAAGGAATAAAGATGAGGTCTAAAATTAAATGGATGGAATATGGCGAGAAACCATCAAAATATTTTTTGAATTTAGAAAAAAGAAATGCTGTGAATAAACGTATATGCAAATTAGTCACTACTGAAAACAAGGAGATAACATCGCATGATGATATTATATCAGAAGTTGTATTATTTTACTCTAAATTGTATAAAAATAATCCTGTTGTTGATGTAGACTTAAATAAAATATTAAATGATCCAGATATAAGTAAATTAACTGCTTCAATGTCACAGAAGCTCGAAGGAGAACTCTCCATCGATGAAGTTCATCAAGCACTTATAAACATGAAAAATAATAAATCACCTGGTCTAGATGGATACACCGTCGAATTTTTCAAACATTTTTGGAAAGAATTACACATATTTTTAGTGAGATATTTGAACTCTGCATATTCATCCGGAATGTCCTATACACAGAAGTTAGGAGTCATCACTTTAATTCCCAAAGGAAAAAAAGATAGACATTATTTGAAAAATTGGAGACCCATATCTTTATTGAACGTGGTGTATAAATTAGGTTCCTCTTGTATAGCAAACAGATTAAAGAACGTACTTCCTTTTCTTATACATGAAAACCAGAAAGGCTTTATGTCAGGGCGCTTCATTGGAGAGAATATCCGTTTGTTATATGATTTATTATTGTATACTGATATCAATGACATTCCTGGTTTATTGCTGCTTATAGATTTTGAAAAAGCATTTGATTCTATTTCTCATGATTTTATTAGAAAAGTATTGCACTTTTTTAAGTTTGGTCCCTCTATTGTAAAATGGGTTAATGTATTCTATGAAAATGCTCAATCCTGTGTATTAATCAATGGACACCTGTCTCCAAGATTTTCAATAGAGCGAGGTTGTCGTCAAGGAGATCCCATGTCAGCTCTTATCTTTCTATTATGCGCCGAAATACTAGGTCTCTTGTTTAGAAATTCCGATTCCATTGTTGGTTTGAGCTTACCTGGTAGACAACTTAAAATAATTCAATATGCAGATGATACTCTTCTAACATTGAACGGGTCAGTAATGGAA